ATATTGCCTCTATATAAATCCATGGTATACCCACATCTTGAATACTGCATGCAGATTTGGTCACCCCATCTCAAAAAAGATATATTGGAATTGGAAAAGGTTCAGAAAAGGGCAACAAAAATGATTAGGTGTATGGAACGGCTGCCATATGAGGAGAGAATAATAAAACTGGGACTTTTCAGCTTGGAAAAGAGACGACTAAGGGGGGATATGATTGAGGTCTGTAAAAGGAAGTGTTATTTACCCCTTCTCGTAACACAAGACCTAGGGGTCACCAAATGAAATTAATAGGCAGCATGTTTAAAACAAACAAAAGGAAGTATTTTTTCACACAACGCACAGTCAACCTGTGGAACTCCTTGCCAGAGGATGTTGTGAAGGCCAAGACTATAACAGGGTTCAAAAAAGAACTAGATAAATTCATGGACGATAGGTCCATCAGTGGCTAATAGCCAGGATGGGCAGGCATGGTGTCCCTAGCCTCTGTTTGCCAGAAGCTGGGAATGGGTCACAAGGAATCGATCACTTGATGATTACCTGTTCTGTTCAATCCCTCTGGGGCACCTGGCACTGGCCACTGTTGGAAGACAGGATATTGGGCTAGATGGACCTTTGGTCTGACCCAGTATGGCTGTTTTTATGTCATTCTGATATGCATAGTGAGGGGGGCTTACTGAGTAAAAAGGCCACTTTTGCACCAATACAGTCAGCATAGAATCTCACTTTAGAAAGGAGATGATCCTATTATTGGGCAAGGAAGTTCACTACAAATAACAAAACAGAACAAAATAGCGTGGCCCTTCCATATCACATTCCCTTTAAACTAGACAAAAGTTGCCTTCACTTTAACATAGAACCCAACAGTACAAATCTGATGGATTGGGACCCTACTTCTAAGCCAGTCCCAGAGCAGCCCTCAGTCACCATTGCTATGGTGGCTGGTTTAGGGCCAAATTATGAAGTCCTCACATCAGTATGTGGCTTGCATCTCTGCAGGTGAAAGTGGTGGAAGCCAGCCTGGACACAGCTGAGGGGGAGCTGGAGGCCTTTCAACGGGAGAAGCAGCAGAGACTGAATGAGCTCCATGTAGTAGTGCCTCTGAAGCTACATCAGGTGATGCAAGAGTGTGTGTGCTGCATCTGGTTTAGCAGCAGCAAGACGATTCCAAGCAGATGGAAAATAGGCCAGGTTGTGACAGTAGCAGTAGTATTCTCACGGGCCCATAGTTCATTGCTTGCAGTTTTTCTTCTCAGTGTTATGGGACTCTGGACTGACTTGGAATATCTAGTTGTTGTTAAAGTAGAATTGTTTGCCGCTCTACTGCTGGACCAGTAAAGGAATACACTGAGTAGTAAGGCCAGGCAGAAGTGCTCATTACTGCTGAGTGACCATGTACCTCAAATATGGTGTAGGTTTGTGGTCAGAAGTCTATTAAGGACTTGATCTTGGAGTCTTCATGTGAGCAAAATTCTCACTGAAGACACTGGGAGTTTTGCCCAAGTAAAGACTGGCAGATTGGGCACAATGTATTAATCCACAGATGTCCCAGTGGAGGTGATTTGAAAGTAGGGAGACAAACTTGACACACTGTTACTTTTTCCTCTGGGTTGGGTGCTTTTTTGCTGTTACTTTATTTTGTGTCATGCTTGGAGGTTTATGCAGAGGCCACTGAAAAAATAGGACAGGCCCTGCCCGCTCTCGCCCAGCTGCCTGCTTTCTCTTCCTTCATTGAAATAGATCTTTGGTCAGAAATTAAGGACAGAAACGTGTCAGAACTGGCCTTATAGCTCTGCAGACCCAGACTGCTGGAATGCACAGGCAGTTGGGTAAAGAATTGCCTCCTCGCTCCATTCCAGTTGCCAAAGGTGGAAGCCTGAGCCAGCATCTGCGTTGGAGTCCATGGAGGGCTATAAGCAGGCTCTGATCATGCTGGGGTCTGCCTTGTTGGGAATGGGCTTTCCCTAGGCTGTACTCTGCCAGTCGTGTTTAAAACAGCATGCTGTCCTCACACAATGGCTGTGCCATAATCACTTGTCCACCAACCAGACCACTGACTTGAGTTCCCAACGCCAGTAACATGCAGTCATCAGCCTTGTCTGTGACTATTTCTGGCAGGTGGAGTACGTGGTAAATGGGGAGTTACCCACCGACCTGTCCCAAACGTTGGTATTTACCAACCAATCCTTGGAGTATCTGCAGCAAAGGATCATGGTCCTGCAGCATGAGAAGTTGGATCAGAGGGAGCTCTACAAGCAGGCCCGGCAGCAGCATAAGCAGCTCATCCGGGACAGGAGGGAGATAGAGATAAGGATCGAGCGTGAGTTCCTAAGCACAGTTTGGTTTTCTCTGCTGTGAATATGGCATTCTAGGTCTCTTTCCATCTTATAGGGATGGGCATCTCTTCTTGCATGCATCTGTGCTTAATGCATATGCATTGCTGGGTGTGAATTACTTCACTTGCTGCCTCTATCACCTCTGCTCCCTGCACCAACACTGATATCCCAGTGGGCGACTGTGGAGATGGTGCTGATGTCATTATGACCACACAGGAGAAATAAGCAGGAGCACAGCAGTAGAACTGTTTCTCATAGGCATCAGTGGCTTTTCAATGATATACACTGATAATGGATGATACGAAGAAGTGCTGGTTAGAGCATCAGGACTCCTGGCTACTATTCCAGCCTCTCACTCTGAATCCTGGGGCCCTCAGAAAAGCACTTTAACCTCTTTATGCCAGTTTCCTCCTCTGTTTAAAAAAAAAATACTTACCATTTAGGGTTATTTTTGAGGCTTTACATGAATTAATGTATTTAAAATGCTTTGAGGTCCTCAGATGAAAAGTGACAATAATAATATCTAGCTCTTATACAGCGCTTTCATCAGTAGATCTCAAAGCGCTTTACAAAGGAAAGGAATCTGTATCTGTATCATTGATGTGACTTGGGCAAGCTCATCTACTAGCAAAGCTGGGAACTGAACCCAGGTCTCCTGAGTTCCAGTCCACTCTGGCTCTAGCCACTAGGCAACTGCATCCCCATAGCTATGCTAGCCATTATTATTCACCTATGAAAAATGTTTCCAAATACACATCTTAAATGTGATGACTGTTCTGCTAGGACTGGAAGAGAACTGTAATCAGCTGATGCTGATGAAGTTTGGCCGGGTGGTGGACTTGGAAGCCCTGCAGACACTCTCTGTTAACATAAACCTGGAAGAGCTAAAGATGAAAATGATGGAGAAAGAGCACATACAAGCCCAGGAACTCAAAAACTGGGAGGTAAGGAGCAGGGACAGGGGCCCCCAGGCCACTGATACAGCTGCAATTACAAGGAATGCACTTGCCTAGAAACTGAATAGCTGCATAAAAATCTCTTCAGCAGGAGTTCTCAATTTCTTTTCACCCATCATTCTTAAACCACACCCTTTTTCCTCCCATATCCCAAAATCCTTTCTGCTTCAGCCCCAAACTGCTGTTACACTTGCTGTTTTGTACTGGAGAATCATGACATACAGTCACTATTTTCCTGAGTTCAGTTCCTGTCTTTCTAAGGTATTTCTAGGGTGTTCTTCCCATTGTTTTCAATTGATGTTCAGCACCTAACACCCTAAATTTCCTTTGAAAATCTCAGCTGTAATATTGAATTTAGCTCGTAAGTGCTTTAGGGTAGGTACAGTCTTTGTGTTCTGGTGTATGCCTGGGGTTCCTGAGTGCCACAGGAACACAAATAATTAAAAAAAAAACCTTCCTGATAACTCCACAACCATCTCCTGGGCTAATAAACTCCTCAGCCTACTTGGTACTAAGAGCTTGCCCTCTAGACCCAAGCATTTATTCAGCCTGAGACCCAGCTATTACTTTGTAAACTGGAACCACCTTCCAGTTATTGTTAGAATACCCAGGCGTTATTTATGTCATTTTAAAAATATGAAAACCATAGGGAACATGTGCAACAAATTTAAGAGTGATTGCAACAGTCAAGAGACATGGAAAACCTCCCATATAAATATACACTCTCTTGCCTGCTTTTAATTTTAAGGCATTTGACCAAAATATTGTTTCTTCCAGAAGTGCACAATAAAACATCCAGCCTACATACATATTTTTGATACATTGTACCTTCTTTTCACCTCCTCAATAAATCAATTGCAAAACTGTCTTTGGGCAAGATTTTGGGCCCAGATCTGCTGGGGTAATTCACTACACTTCAGTGGAGTTTCTCTGAGTTTACATTGGTGTAACTCAGATCTGGATCTGGCCCAGGGAGTTTTGCCATTGACTTCAGTGGGAGCTGGAGCAGGTTCATTAAGAAACATCTACTCCCTGCAATATTATGGTATTTGCCACTTAAAAAAAAGAAAATAAAAAGTTTCCTTCAACTTTCCTCCATCCCAGGAGAAGATTTTTGAGCTGCGGCAACGGCTGATGATGCTGATGAAAGAAAACACCAGCAAGCTGCAGCAGCTGAACAGCTTCTGTATTGAAAAGCAGAGACTCGGAATGAAGCTGGATGCACTGCAGAATAACCTGGTAAACTTGCCTGCTGCCCTGACTAACACTTGATTGTGACAGTTTAGTAAGAGGCATTTGTCTGTTCCCACTAGGACGCCTTTATAATTCCTTGTACTGCCATCAGCATTTAGTGATCTGGGTTAATGATTCTCGTGGTAAAAGTTGAGCACAACTCCTGATATTGGAACAGGCAATGCCCAGATTTCCCTTTGTTAAGGCCTTGCCTTCCTTTTACCACTGCAATCCAACCTCCATATTTCTAACCAAAGGAAACTGGATGGAACTTCCCTCGCAGCAAGTCCACACCACTCCATTGTCCAGAGTGATCTGAGTGAAATGACGTGTGTTCTTTCCCCCGTGCTATCTGTGGTGCCTGTTCTGAGGCCCAGCACTGAATTAACTGTCACTTACCAAGTGGGCATCAGATGTGAGTGGAGAAGGTGTAAACTTGTCCTGTGCCTGGGTTGGTGAGGGGAAGGCTTTGCTTTCCCAGCTGAAGTGAAGCCATGCCTTCCCCGGTACTTAAAGGGAGCTCTGTTTCCCTCTCCCTACAGGGAGCAGAATTCCAAGGCCCCCGGAAAGCTGAGATCCAGGAGAGAGAGAGGCTGATTACACTGGTCCAACTCCAGGCCCAGGAGGCAGAAGTACTCAAGGAGGAAATCACTCTCTTAAGCAGAAAAGATGGGCGCATCTTCCCACCACCTCAGCCTCCACCTGATACCAAGATACTGAACTAAAGTTCTCTCTGTCACTAGCCTCATTCATTAGACATTTCCCTGGCAACGGGCATTTGTCAGTGAGGGGCCCTGTCAGCAACCAGCACCGGTTCCAATAACACACTGGGTGTCAAAGTTTGGGCCAAACGTTTTGTCCCATTTGCAGTCTCCCCCTGGGGTTTCATATTGCCAGTCATCTTTAATACAGAGGGCTGTAAACACTACAGATCCCAGCCTGCAATGCTCCCTTTTGAACTTCCATTCAGAGCCAGCTAGAGCATTGCAGGCTGGAAGCTGTGTTCACAGGCTGCATTGTGGTGAGCTGCAGCAAATGGCTTGGTTTACTGCCGATTAGGTGCAGTCTTTATGGACCCTTTAAGCAAAGTCTGCACTCCTGCAATAAGGGCTCATCCTATGCTCCCATGGCTTTTACAAGCTATTCTTCATGGCAGTCAGACCTGCCTTGGGATACACTTGTGCACAGCTCATTTGCCCCAGACTAGTCCAGAGCCCAGTATCTGTCTGTCACCTATTAACTTCCTTGTCTTCCAGCCAGCAGGGTAGATCTTCCCTTCAATGCCTCTTGAAACATGATCCATTTTGTATCTTCTTCTGCTGAGTGTCATGGGTAATTCTTAACTGTATTAATTAGCCAACACACCCTTACAGGATAATATGCATAAAGAATGGGAAGAGGTTGCATGGGTTTTAGATATGTAAAGTCAGTTTTGAAGCTGGCATCATACTGTAGATAATAAAAGTTTGTAAGCAGGTTGGAGTGTTTTGAGGCTAGTATACACTTTGATTTTTTTAAGGCCAAAAGGGATCATTATGATTATGTCGGGTAAAATGTTCAAAAGTGACTTAGGTGTCTAAGTGCTTAAATCACTACGGTGGTTTTTGAAATTGTTACTGTTAGTCTGACCTCCTGCATAACACAGGCCATAAAATGTCACCCGCTGATCCTTGCATCAGACTCAAGCACTTGTGGTTGAACTGGCACATAGCATTTAGAAAGTCATCCAATCCGGAGTTAAAGTGATGGAGAATTCTCCTGACTTCAGCTGTCAGCCATTGGATCTTGTTATGCCTTAGGGTGGTAGACTATCCTATATTAGTATCATGGCTTGCAAAGCAAGGCTAAAATGATTTCCTTAAAGTTTTGTTTTGATCGCGTGTGCTCTGACAACTAGGACTAATTACAAAGGGTAACCGTCGTAAACCTGCAAAGAAAGAAATACATTAAGAATGCACTGGAGGCTGGTGATCTTGGACAGTCAGAACACTCGTGGTTGAGTGCAAATTTTAAATAGTAGTACATACAGGTAGTAAAGGAAAAAGAGTAAGTAAGAAAGAGGGATAAAAATGGAGTCCCAACTCACATTCACTCGTCTTGTTTTAAACCTTTATCATAGTCTTGGCTAGACAATAAAAGAGGCTAGGTAGTGCTCCAGAGACCATCATAGAACAGTGTTAGTGATGTGCTACAGTGATTTGCATTGAGCAAATGCTGGATGTACTCTTAGCCCTTGTTCAAGAGGAAGCAATTTTTGATGTGTGAGATCTACCCACTGGAAATTGCACTCCTCAGCTCTATCTTTGGTACTTAAGTGCCTAAAGAGTAGTTAATGGGTTTCTTAAGGTTGCATCTTGTGATGTAGCATGTCCTGACAAAGAGCAACTGGGCACGTATTCCGAGAGAAGCATGTTCCACCAGCTGTTTGCTGAAGAGCAGGCTAGCCCAATACCACAGATGCTCTCTGCCCACTCCACTGGGGGGAAAGGACACATTCTGAAAGGGGGAATGAGAGGGAGGAACAAGTTGTTTGGAGGAGCCCAAGACAAGTATGCTGTACACTGTGGATGAACTTCTTCAGGGTCTGAAGGGTTAAACTTTGCCCAAAGAAGGGAAGGCCATGACTAAATCACAGACTTTGCTGCTTGTCTCAGGTCAGTAGAAATAAGACACTGCAATGAATTGGGGTACTGAAGTCAGTGTTATTGAAAAGTGCGCCTGGTGTGTTTGTTCTTACGCTGGTTTGACACTGGGGTAACTATGGACTTGGTCCAACTTGTTAGAAGAGAATAAGGCTGGATATATCATTGTTTTCATGTTTTCTTCTTCCTTTCCCTTCTCCTGGAATCTGGTGGTTCTTTAACTATGGTCTACAGAACTCCTGATGTCTCACTGCCTCAGTCATCAAGTGGTGAGATTTCATTCTAAGGCAGGTGTCCTAGATGTTAATGGTCCAGAAACCTTTTTGAACCAACTAAACTAAACCAACCAACCCTCCCAGGCTCTCTGTCCCTTTTCAGGTTGTTCCAGATTGTTCTTTGTGAGGTGTTTTGTGTAAACTGAACCAGGATCAAATGTGTGAACCACTCAGGTTGGAGGGGAAGCAAAGCAACAGCAGGACAGAACAGAGCGTGGGAAGCTTCCTGCAGCCAGGGAAGATTCAGTCCTAAATAACGTAAAGCAGTTGGAGCCAGCGAGCGGAATTGAAGAACAGTGGAGATCCCAGCTGGGCAGATGCAATGCAGTTGCACCCATCTAGTGTTTCTTATACTGTCTACTTGTGGCCTATAAGCACCCTCAGCTACCATTCAAAGGGGCACCTTTACCTACAGACACAGATGCTAAAGGCTTTTGGAATAAGGGAAATGAAAAAGAAAACCAGGAGAGAGTCTGCACAAAAGATACATTTTTTCTGTGCAGCTCTGTTCACAGAGATGGGGGAGTTCCATCTCCATCTTTGTGAACAGAGCTGCACAGAAAAAATGTTTCTTTTTCTTCTTTTCTGGCCCCTCTCCAGCTAGTTCAAAGGTCCGACCTTGTACCCCCAATGGGCATTCTGTCTGGACTTCACCTGGAGCCGGACTGAGCCTCACCTCGTCTGTTGACTCCTAGAGTTAGAGGAACCAGCTGGGGGCCCTGTGTAAAGCAGTAACTCAAGGAAAACATCCCCCCACCCCTGCTCCTGCCAGGGAAGGAGACTGGGCTTAGCATAGGAGTATTCAGCATACAGCAGACCACAGAGAAGACAAAAGCCTTTATTTTAGCTGTTCAAGCAGGGGTTTGTCTTTGCAGATACGCTACTACAGACGGTGTGTATGTGAAGGGTTGTTAATGCCAATATGTATTGTACATGATTTCAATCCATGCTGAGGGGCATGTCGCCAGGAGCTCCCTTCCAGCTGGGAGAGGAAAAGGGACCCTCCTTTCCACACTCTCATCTTTCATGTGGTCCCTGCTGCAAACAAATACTTTAGACCAGTCTCCTCTTCGCAGCTGTGCTTGACCCAATGTCCTACGATGTCTCTTGTGCTTGTGCCGAGCAGAAGGCTGTCGTTCCCGGGGTGTGTTCTGATAAACAGCCCGATGCCATCGCTGGCAGATGCCCCAGTTTCTTGTTTCCTCCTGTCACCTTGCACAGGCTCCCCTCTGTCTCAATAGCATTATAAAAGGCACATGTACATCTATTTACAAGTGCATAAATATATAAATAGGGATGTTATACAAAAATAAATACCCAGTCTCTCTCTCTCTCTCTCTTTAGAATAATAGTCTTTTGCAAAGGCAGCTTTGTCCCTAACTGGTAGGAGGAGGAGTCTCAAAGGGCATGTGCCGTGGAGGGCTGCTGCTCAGATGCCTCGTTGGGTCCTGCCCCAAACAGGTGATGGCTGGGTTCTGGGGACACCGTTCTCCTCTGAGCTGGCAGCAATCTAGCCTCTCTACTTCTTCAACTGGCACCAGGCCAAGGCAGCAAGGGGTACCTGAGAAGGGAGGGGAGCAAGAACCAATTATAACCAAAGGAAACAAAGCTTTGACCAGTGCATGAACGTGCCAGGTAGAACTGCTACCTCCAAATCACCTTCTAACAACGGATCCTGTTGGCAAAGAGAAAGTGATGTGGAGCTTGGTTCTCAACATGGCTGCTATGCGGGTAGCTGTGTCCTACAGAGACATGGCAGCAGGTACCAAAGTAACAGTGTCCTAGGACACTGACTGACCTGTTTTCCCCCACCAGGAAGAATTGTTTTGGTGGATCAGGCCCCTGCGGAATGGATCATTCTAATCTTTCATGAACTGTGAACTTAAGTGTGGCTTCCCATGCACTTGTTTGACTGACAGCCTGGAAAGTGCAAGCACTGGAAGGGTTAAGGTACTGCAGCGGCTGAGTACATGTCTCAGGTACATCTCCAGCCAGGTTAGGTACCTGCCATGGTGCAGACCAGTTAGTTCCCTGGGTGTAAGGTCTCAGAGCAATGAGAATCAGCGGGTGCTAGGAACCCCTCTTCCGCCAAATAAATGCCCCATCCTCCAATATACTGGGCCAGTTTTGTGGTCTCCACCTGCTATTCTGGCCCCCTCACGTTGCTGTGTGATCCTGGAAATTACAGGCCAGTAATCCTAACTTCAGTACTAGGCAAATTGGTTGAAACTATAGTAAAGAACAGAGTTATCAGACACATAGATGAACACAATTTGTTGGGGAAAGAGTCAACACGGCTCACCAATTTGCCTCACCAATCTACTAGAATTCTCTGAGAGGGTCAACAAACATGTGGACGAGGGTGATCCAGTTGTTACAGTGTACTTAGATTTTCAGAAAGCCTTTGACAGGGTCCCTCACGAAAGGCTTTTAAGCAAAGTAAGTTGTCATGGGATAAGAGGAAAGGTCCTCTCATGGACCAGTAACTGGTTAAAAGATAGGAAACAAAGGGTAGGAATAAATGGTCAGTTTTCAGAATGGTGAGCGGTAAATAGTGATGCCTCCCAGGAGTCTGTACTGGGACTAGTGCTGTTCAACATATTCATAAATTATCTGGAAAAAGGGGTAACCAGTGAGGTGGCAAAATTTGCAGATGATACAAAATTATTCAAGATAGTGAAGTCCAAAGTAGACTTGCAAAGAGTCGCAAAGGGATCTCACAAAATTGGGTCACCCAATGAAAATAATAGGCATCAAGTTAAAAAACAAACAAAAGGGGGTACTTCTTCACACAATGCACAGTCAACCTGTGGAACTTGTTGCCAGGGGATATTGAGAAGGCCAAAACAATAAATGGGTTAAAAAAAGAATTAGATAAGTTTGTGAAGGTTATGTCCATCAATGTGTGTCCCTAAGCTTCTGGCTGCCAGAAGCCGGGAGTGGATGACAGGATGGATGACTCG